AAGTTGCCAAGGTTGAGAAACATTGCTTTAAACAATGTACAAAGTACATTTTCCCCCTCTCTGACTGCTTTCCAAGAAAGGTGAGCAGCCTTTTAAATGGACTCTTTATATTATTTATGTATGATGGCTGGGCTGATAATGTTCTATATGGTTTTATTGTCATTTATTGTTTTGATTGGTTTAAACTGGGGATGGTATTGATCGAATTGGTGTTTTAAAGCGCCATGGGCCCGTTTGACGGGAGTTTGTGGATCCAAATTTGATAATAAATGAAATAATAAATACAGAAAGTTTGGAAGCCAGTCAGGACCCTGATTAACAGAAGCAGACCGTCAGAAGGACAAAATGGAGCGTTTCCAGCAAATGTTTAAATAGACCGTTCCCCAACTCAGTGCCCTTCAGATGTGTTAGATTATGGTCTCCATCACCACTGTTCTTACTTGGTAGGACAGGGATGGGAGTTGTAGTCTTGAATATGTTGAGGAGCCAGGTTGGGGAAATTGGTGTCTGAAGCCAAAACTTCAAGGACAGCAGGCGTGCTTGATCTGATCCTCAAAATAGAGGGGCATGAGGTGCAAAAACTGGTCGGCCCCTTGCCAATTTCTGCTTTCCGGGTAAATCTGGCCTTCTCCCTTCTGAGTCTGTGTTGAAAATGTCAGATGAAATGACAAAGCCCGCGATGGAGCATCAAACAAGCTGTGGTGGAAAGACCTATCAAAACTTCTCTTGTTCCCTCAAAAGCTCAGAACTGAGGGTGATGGATAAAACAGGGGCAGGAGGCTAGAGCTCAAACCTCAGTTTAACTAGTTAAAACCTAGTTAAGCCATGTGAAAATCAGGCCTTTGACTTTTTTCCTGAAGAGGGCAGTCTTGAACCAAAAACACCACGTGGACTTCCCTAAGGAAGATCTATATGGGCTTACATGCATACCTTGGTTTGAATCTTCCCTCTGCACCATTGGGTGGTGACTCCGAATCATGGGAGCTGTAGTCCAAAACAGCTGGAAAATATCGGTTGGATAAAGTTTCTTTCCAGCAGGACCAGCTCAAATAAGATTAAGCCAGGGTTCCTCTTCTGTCGTTAGCATTTTTTTTTTTTATCCCATCTTTATTATTTTTATAAATAAGGTGGTGAACAATACCTAATACTCCTTCTGCCCCAAACACCTCAGTCTGTGCCGGGCTTTCTGTTTTGCACAACCTGGCCAGGTTCTCTTAGAAGGAAATTGGATCCCTTGATTTTTTCTTTTCTGAAGTTGGAACGGCTGCCGCTTCTCTTGCGGAACGCAAGCCTTGGGCCGGGTGGCTGGGTCTCTAGGACAGAGAGCTTCAAAGATCCTCTGCTCTAAATTAGGTCCAGTCCAGTCCTGCAGCCCTTGTGCAACAAATCTAGAAGGAACACTCACACAATTGGTGAAGTGTGAAAACTACCACGAGCAACTAACAAACACCCCCCCAGCAAATTGGGAAAGCTAGAATGTACAAACGACCCACAGCCAATTTGTTCGAAGAACCTAAACGCCTCTTTGAATGCCCCGAGTTTATTTTTCTCTCTGCAAGTATCTTGCAAAGTCTGGGCTTAACCACAGTTTGTTGAACAGGCCACCAAGGGCTTGGCTTGTATATCATACTACGCCAAAACTATGTGAGGGTATGGTGACTTGGTATTCTGTGTGAATGCCATCCGCTCCTTAGCGCTTCTCCAAGATTTGGGTGTATTTCCTGGATTGGAAGGTGGGGAGGCCAGATCAAGCATCGCACAGAGAGGCAACAGGAACCCCTTTCTAGAGAATGGCATTTTTTGCATCTTTCAGAGATGCGCCAGGCAGCCTCCTTAAAGACCAGTCCTGCACTCTGAAGATGCCGGTCACAGGTGCTGGCGAAACGTTAGGAAACAAAACTTCCAGAACACGGCCACACAGCCCGGAAGACCCACACCAGTCACCAGTGTTTATCTTAAAGGGCATAATAATCATATACATTCATTTTTGAGTTAGGGCTCAATGTCTAGCATCTAGCACAGAAAAACCTCTGTCTTATTTGCCCACACTAGTCACTCTAAAGCCATAAGGTGGTTTCTGTGTCATTGGCTTGGCCCCCCAAGGAATGCTGGCTTATTCCGTTTAGCAAGCCAACCTTAGTGGAATAAACCACTTCTGCTCCTCATTATCTTTCGCTGGATCTCTTCTAGAAAAACCTTTGCCCCCTTTCCCTTGACATTGTTCCCTGGTCCCCAAATGCAGCCACGCCTTCCGAGGGAAGGGTTGACAGTCTTTAGCCAGCTTCCCCCTCCAACTTCTGCCTTGGAGGTCTGCCCAGACAGCTTAGCCATTCAAATCTCTCTTCAATTGCCAATTGTAGGGAGAAAAGATTTGAACTAATCAAGCCCCATTTCTCAGGCAATCAACTGGATCAGGGCAGAAAGTTGATGTTGAAACACCCTTGTAGTTCTTCCAGTCAATCTTTAACCATGTCCTTTCTCCTCCTCCTTCTCCTTCTCTGCCCCTCCCTCCCTTCCTCCCTCCCTTCCTTCCCCACCCCTCTTTTTGGTTAACGTCACCCCCAGTTTGATTTTTAACGCCAGGATACCCAGGAGAGGCACCCAGTTCCTCTGAGGTTCTTCTCTAGCCCGTATTCTGAATTATTTCTCTCTTGTGTCAGGATAAATGTTGGGAGGGTAAAAGGTGGTATTGGGGGAGGACAAGTCAAATATTGTACAATTGATGGGGACACTGTTGCACGAGTTCCACACTGTCTTGATGCAAGGCACAGCTTGGAAAACAGGCTCACAGTGTTTATTAGTGGCTGCGTAACACACAAAGCCCAGTTTCTCAATTAACCCTTTTTCTAAGCTTGCACAGTCCACTGAATTATAAACTAACCACAGCTGCTGGGTTCACCCAACACATTTTGCACAATACATTGAATCGTAAACTCCAGAGCTGCTGAACACACTAAGTTAACTCCATTTCCACTCATTTAATTTAGCATGCTGTGTGAATGCACCTCTTTAGCTCATTTACCCAGTCTGGTGAAACAAGTTGCCTAAATGTGTTACTACTAACCTGGTACTCTAAGTCCTGGTTCACACAACATGCTCAGCCCTGGATGGCTTGTGTACTTTCAGCTAAACTTGTTGTATCGACCTGGGCTTCATGTGATCAACTACAGTAAACCACAATTTGCTTAGTCAATAAAAATGGGTTATTGTCAACTAAAAGTCTCTACCTCACAGGCTAGACTAAAACTGAATTAGTTTGTAGCCCCACATGTTGTGAGAAAAGACCCGATTTGGTGTTATGGTTAAGGGGACCAGGCTAGAAACTGGGAGACCGTGAGTTCTAGTCCCGCCTAGGCACAAAGCCAGCTGGGTGACCTTGGGCCAGTCCCTCTCTCTCAGCCCTAGGAAGCAGGCAATGGCAAATCATTCTGAAATCTTCCAAAGAAAAGTGCGGGGACGTTTCCGGGCAGTCGCCAGGAGTCAGCAATGACTCAAAGGCACCAAAACAACAACGAACATGT